AAAAAAAAAAAAAAAAAAAAAACTAAGATTGAGAGGACAGAGGGAATTTGGAAAGACTTCCAGAGGAAATAATGCCTAAATTAAGTCTTTAGGTATTACCTGAGGCTAAACACAAATATGGGTGTTTTGGGGTTGATTTTTTTTTTTTGGTGCAGGGGGTGGATAATGGTAGATGAGGTTACTAAAAGAACACAGTTCATGACAGAAGAGTCTATTTCAGGAAAAGACAGCAGCATGTGCAAAAGTAAAAGGCATGAGATAGGTGAGGCATATCATCAAACTGCAAAAAGTATGCAATTGTGCTATTTAAACAGGGGCTACTGAAAACGTGAAATGTACCTGGTCAGAAATGAGATATGTTGTAAGTGTAAAATACACATGGCATTTTGAAAACTTAGTACATAAAAAAGAACATAAACTATCTACTTGAATATATTTTTAAATATTCATCACATTAGGGGTGCCTGGGTGGCTCAGTGGGCTGGGCCTCTGCCTTCAGCTCGGGTCATGATCTCCGGGTCGTGGGATGGAGCCCCGCATTGGGCTCTCTGCTCGGCAGGGAGCCTGCTTCCTCCTCTCTCTCTGCTTGCCTGTCTGCCTGCTTGTGATCTCTGTCAAGTGAATAAATAAAATCTTTAAAAAATAAAAAAAATAAATATACATCACGTTAAAATATTATTTTGGATGTACTGGTTTAAATAAGATATACTATTAAAATTAATTTCACCTGTTTGTATTTTCCTGTGACTACTGAAAAAATGTTTTAAATTATGTATATGGTTCACATTATATTTCTTTTAGACAACGCTGGTTTAGAATGCCTGCACTGGCTGGAGGGCAGTGATAAAGTAATAAAGAAGACTGGATCAAGTGGAAGAGACTGTTACAAGAAGGATCTTTATATCATACAAAGAAGTTGGTTAGAAAAAAAAGGATCTTCAGTAGGATTAAAATGATCAGATCCACATTTACAAAGATCCATCTCCAGCCCAAGAACTGGAGGCCCAATAAGGCTTAAGGCAGAAAATCAGCTGGTCTTGAAATCAGGTGACAAGTGATAGTGCTTTGAACTAACAGAGGGTAACTAGAGATGTAGAGTACAGAATTAAGAAATGTTTATCAAATAAAACAAACTGGACTTGGTGACAGATTATATGTGGACTATGCGAACAGAGAATTCCAAATTCTTCCAAATTCAGAAAATGAATTTCAAAGTTTTGGGCTTACAAAATTGGGTAAATATGGTACCAATCAATAGGACAGGTCTGGTGGAGAAAGGTGATGGTTTCATATTAGATACATCGAGTTTAGGATGCCTGTAAGAAATCTATGTGGAAACATCAAAAATTAGCTATACAAATTTAGAACTAATTCAAGAGTTCCAGGACAGAGACAAAAACTGATTGTGCATTAATAAAATATAGATGGTGAAAGCCAAGATGACCAGAAGCCTGAAGATGAACTCAGCCAAAAAAAGAACAGAGTGAAGAGAAGGCAGAAGACTAAATTAAGAGGAAACGCGATACTGGTGAGCAGAGGAGGAGCATCATCCCACAAAGAAGCAAAGAAGATCAATAACAACAGGCAGAAGAAGAACCAGGTGAAAGAGCAGAATCTTCTTTGGGGCGTGGGGTGGGGGGGGGGGGGGTTGTGGGCAGAGGGAGAGACAGAATCAAGCAGGCTCCATGCCCAGGCCAGAGCCTGATGCAGGGCTTGATCTCCCCACCTGGAGATCATGACCTGAGCTGAAATCAGAAGCTTAACCAACTGAGCCACCCAGGCATCCCAAAAGTAGCATCTTCTAATGGACTTCTGTGTCTGCTATTCCATGACTGCTTAATAGAAAAGATGTGATGCTGACAAAAAAAAGAAAAACCTTTTCCAAAAATCACCAACTACTTTTTGATATTTAAAATGATTCTCGGGCGCCTGGGTGGCTCAGTGGGTTAAAGCCTCTGCCTTCGGCTCAGGTCATGATCTCAGGGTCCTGGGATCAAGGCCCGCTTCCGGCTCTCTGCTCAGCGGGGAGCCTGCTTCCTCCTCTCTCTGCCTGCCTCTCTGCCTACTTGTGATCTCTCTCTCTCTGTCAAATAAATAAATAAATAAATAAAATTATAAAAAAAAATAAAATGATTCTCTGTATATATTTGTAATATAAAATTCAAACGTGGAACTATAACTTGAAAAAATATGAATTAAAATAACGTAATAATCTCCAGAACTGTACCCTTTTTTCAAATCTGCATGTAGACCCCTCCTGCCAAAAAAGATAAATACATAAAAATCATTTAAATGGTGACTTTTGATCTCAACGATATTTTTAATCCAAGTTGATAGTAAAGGACCAGCATAAAAATGTTTGTGCCCAAGTGTACTTTCCTATGGAGAGGGGCCAAAACGTTCTTCAGACTTTCAGAGGAGGATCCAACAAGCAAAAGATTAAGAAAATCTCCAGTAACTGCAGCCCATCGAACTGCTCACACAAACAAAATTTCAAGAACAAATCCACTTTAACAGAACCATCCAATTTTTTCTTCAGTTATCTCATTATAGGTAGGAACATCACAAGAAATTAATCCTCACAACAGTATCTACTATTCCCATTCCCAAACGGAAAAAAATATATATGCCCCTTGTTACTAGCCAACAATTTGTTACTAATTGATATTAGTAATTTGTCCAAGGTCACAAAGTGAATGAGAGGGGGTTTAAACTCAGGTGAACCTGGCCCATGGTCTTCACCACCGCGAAACACTGTATCCTTTTGGTCCTGCCCACGCAGAACACCAGCCAGAGCACTCCGACTCACCTGGCGTATTTTTTGCCAAACATCTTTCCTCTCATCCCAGCCTTGATGGACATGTAAAAATTTCACAGCCAGGATAAATGAGCCTTTCCGCTTTAACCAAACTGTCTTTAATCTCCAATTATTATCCCAGAGATACCGAAAGTTTCACAGTCTTCTTCCCCTTCTTGGCTCTGTCCCTCCTTTCCCATCTTCAGTCTCCACAGGCCTCTAGGGTTTCCTAATAATTCCTAACCCTATCTCTAGATTCTCCTGCAATGAGCTCCCTTCCTCCTTTTCTCGATTCCAACAAATAACCAAACCTTCTATAACTTCGTCTCCTCCTAACTTCCCAATCCCCCACCTGTAGCCAACCTCCCCTCCTTCTTGTCCTTTCCCGGCTGCCGTGCTCCTCACTTATTTGCTTAGGACTCTGTTCTCCCCGCGTCCCCAAACACTCCCTATCCCTAATCCGCTCATCCTCCCTGCTTTAACAACTCCACTCTCATACCTCTATCCAAGAATAGCCAGCCCCCCACGCTTCAGTCCCAATCTCACTTCGCACCCCGAACTCCTCAGTCTCCACGCCCACGCCAAAAGCCCACCCCCAACCCGCCCCGGCCCCTCCTCAGATTCGACGCGGCGTCCCGCCTCCTTGCCTTCTCTCCGCGGAACAAACTCCCCGTCTAGCCGCCCAAGAGTGGGTGCCGGGTTGCTGCGAAGATTGAGGGGCGGGAGCCAAGGCTGCCGGGGTGCGGGAAGTTTGAACACGGGGCCAGGTTAGGGGCGGGGACCGTAGTTCCCTGGCGGCGGCGACGCGGCGACTTCGGCACCAGGGTAACGGAGACGGAGGACCATACTGCACTGCGGCAAGACTGCAGCCAATGATTCCCGCCCCCAATCTCCCATTGGCCTCCGGCACCAGACGACCATTCCTATTGGGGTCAGTGGAACTGGAAGGCGGGACAATGAGTACGGGAGAAGGCAGCCATTGGTTGACCGCTTCAGTTGTAGCGGCAGCCGGGAGTGGGGAAGTGGTTCCCGCCCAAGCTCTGCGGGGTGCGGCGGGCCTCCGTGGGCAGTGCAGGGCTTTACGCGACCGCATAGCTTCAAGGGCCTTGGATGGTGCGGGGAGGATGTGGGCGGAGGGGAAAGCGGGTTGGTGTAATGAGTTGTAGAAATTGGCAAATGCGTGATGGAAAACGTTGAAAACTGTTTTGAATCCTTCTTGGAAATCAATTGATTTTAAATTAGGAAGAAATTAATTATAAACAAATAGCTAGTTACTTCTCGATCTTAGCACCGAGATTGCTTGTTTTCAGGAGTTGGTGGAGTTAGTGTACTAAGGGTCCTTCCTTGAGGTCCTGACCTTTGTAATTCACGAACGCGCAGCAAGTTTGGCTTGAAAGTGGGTTATTTTTTTTAGGTTTTGGAAAGGGTTCGAGGCGGAATGACATTTGAGAGATTTGCACATTAAAAAAAAAAAAAGTAAATGTCGCGGTGCATGTCAGTAACCTATTGAGAATTGCAGTATGGCATTTTCCCTTTTAAAAAAACTGACAGTGCGTTAAACGGCATTAATTGCAGGAGGCAGGGAAAGTAAAAAGAAAATGCTCTCTTCGGTGAAGGTTATTTTAAGCAATTCTAAAGGTTCTGATTACCAAGATGGCTTAACACCGCACCCCGCTTTTTTCTCCATTGGTAATTTCTTCAAAACTGGGCTTTACCTCCATTCTGCAGAGTGTCTAAATCTTGAAGGCAAATGCATTGTAATCAATCCTCTCACCATGAATTATGGTAATTCTGTTTCTTGCCTGACCTCGTTTTTCCCAATTTTGTCCTATTTCAAAGCTTTCATTTTATCCTGTCAATATCTTTCACTTCAAGTTACAGACTAACCCACCTAAACAATACTGTAATTAAATGCAATTTTCTGTATAGAAAGTAGAAGATAGGAATCGTCTGTTAGTGAAAAATAAAGATGAGTAATACCTAAAGTGCACTTAAATAACATTTCATCAGTTTAAATCTGCTAATACTCTTCGTTAAAATAGCTCACTGGTTATTACTGACTCCATTAGAGTTAATATTACGTGGTTTAATAAGCGCATTGGTAGGGTACTTTTAAAGGAAATAGCTATAAAGGGTGAAGAAACATGCTGTGTTTAGGTGAAAGAACAAACTTCTCTCTCCAAGGAGTCAAATGAAGGTTGCTAGCTTTCAAGGACAGCTGAAAATGAAACTAACATTCATTCTGCACTAGCAATGTGCTAGGCGATGTAATCTCATTCCATCTTCATTGCTGATTCTAGACGGGTGTTATTCATTGTTATACCTGAGGAATCAGATTCAGAGAAATGAACGAATCCACTAGGAAATACTAAAGTAGTAAGTGGTAGAGGCAAGAATGAAGCCTAGGTCAGCTAAATTCCAGGATTCAAATTGAATGCCTTTAATATGTTTCACCTACAGGTTAATAGAGTTGCTAGAAAGCAAGAAAGTACTTAAAAGGTTAGTCGTCTCCAAAAAATTATCTAATTGTACATAACACATTTTCAAGATGTTTACAATGTGCACTTTTATTCATTCTATCATATTTGGAGTAACAATGACTATCAATTTATTTGACCTTGAATAAAGACCCAAAGGATTTCTAAATCTCCAGGAATAAAAACCAGCTTATTGAACTTAATTCTTTAAAATGTATCCCAAAACATGAAATAATTTCTATTCTACTTTTCAGAAAAAGAGAAAGCCAACAAAAGTATTTTTTATGACACTTGAAATTATATTTAATAGGAATAAGCCCTCTTATTATTTTTAAAGATTATATTTATGAAAGGAATTATACTATATATATTATAATAATCAGTATGATTGGAGTTTTATTTTTAATATATATTAAATATATTTTTAAATATTTTTAATATATTTTCATATAACACTGTAGTTTTATTTTTAGTATTTTGGCCTTACACAGTATTGCAATATCTCCAGATTAATCATTTTGCTAACTGAATGTTCCCTTTCTGCAAGATTTTGATTGCCTTGATTAATACCATGTGATGATACAGATATTGTTAATTAAACTCTTCCTAGAAGTGCTTACCAATGAAATTATTCCCATTTTCCATGTGAAAAAACTAAGAAGTTTGAGCAATAAATCAGAAGTTTCATAAAATTAATAGGTAGACTTCCTTCTGTAGACAATCCAGAAATTACAATGACTGCATTTTAAAAGGAGCATACTATAAAAAATCATATCTTAGAAAGCACACCAGTATAATCATCCTTAGCTAAAGTTTGGTTGTGAGTGCCTGGGTGGCTCAGTTGGATGAGCAACTGCCTTTAGCTTATGTCATGATCCTGGAGTCCCAGGATCAAGTCCTACATAGGGTTCCCCGTTCAGTGGGGAATCAGCTTCTCCCTCTGACCCTCCCCGCCTCATACTCTCTCTCTTTCTCTCAAATAAATAAATAAAATCGTTTTAAAAAATTAAATTAAAATATAAAGTTTAGTTGTCCATTTAGCACCATTCTTTGGGAAAAAAAAAAAAAGCATTGTCACAATTTTACATATCTTACCTAGATAGGTGATAATAAAAAAAATTGGGGGGCCTGGGGGGCTCTGTCGATTAAGTGTCTGCCTTTGGCTCAGGTCAGGATCCCAGGGTCCTGGCATTGAGCCCCACATGGGGCTCCTCCCTCCCACTTGTGCTTTCTCTTACACTCTCTCACTATCTCTCGATCTCGAATAAATAAATAAAATCTTTAAAAAATAATAAAAGATGTTCTTAAATAAAAATAAAAAATTTAAAACTTTTAAATCAAACTTCTGGTGTCCATATTGCTAGAAAATTTTAAACTTATTAAGAAATTACAGGTTGGGGCTCCTGGGTGGTTCAGTTGGTTTAAGCGTCTATCTTCAGCTCAGGTCACCATTTCAGGGTCCTGGGATCCAGGGCCTAGTAGTCTCCCTGCTTTAGCAGGGAGTCTGCTTCTCCCTCTCCCTCTGCCCTCCCTCCTCCCACCCCAGTTATGCTCATGGGTACATGTGCATGTGCTCTCTCTCTCTCTCTAATAAATAAGTAAAATCTTCTTAAAAAAAGAAATTACAGGTAAATAGATTGTCAGCATATAATACTAACTTTTAAACAGCATCTAATATGCTAGGTGTTCAAAAGAAATTGAATGGCTTAGGAAAACTTGAGCCAGGTGTAAATAATAGTAAAATTGGAGACACGTACGGTGATTTGATCTTCCAGAAACAAATTTAGTCTAGTTGATTATTATTTGCCCTTGCAGTACAGAAGGCTGATACTCTTTGATTATTGCTTTGTTTAAAGGATAAATCTTTTTTGATCGCTATATGAAATTTGCAAGTTTATTATTTTATTAGTGGAGAAAGAAATAAAACCATTGAGATGTTTACTAGTATTTTTCTTCTTTCATAACCGGTGAGTAAATCATTGATAGTTTCTCAATTTCATGGAATTTATTTGAACGTGAGGATCTTTTACTTTTGTTTTGCATAAAAAGAGTTAAGCCAAAAATTGGTTTAAGTTAGTTTTTAATACATGCTTTTGGGTTTCATTACTCCACAACTACATCTTTAAGTAAATTGACCTACAGACTAAGTGCTATCTCCAACGCAGTAGAAATAGCACTGAAGGAAAACATAATTCTATTTGTATTCACATTGTTAGATTTGAAAGGGAGAATGTCAGTACAATTTTCTTAGTAGGCAATTGCCTGTTCTTAACTGAAAATAATCCATAGGAAATTCTGTTAATATCCGTGACTATATTTTTAATTTACAATAAGTATGTTAGGTAATTTTAATTAATATTAAATTATTGCTAAGTAATAATTTAATTAGTTAATGTGCTAGGTGATTTTTAATTTTAATTGACAGATATGTTAGGTAAATCAATATAATTTATTGAAAAAAGTGTTTTTACTACTTCAGGATTCTAGCATAAAACAGCCAGTTATTTCTCCAGTAAAGACAGGAAAATGGCAGAATCACAGTGGAAAACTAAGTTAAACACTTTCATTCATTCACTAAATACATATTGAGTACTTACTACACACTGTTAGAGAATACAGATATGAAAAATAAAGTCCTTGTCTTCTAGCTGCTTACTGTCTAATGAACAAGAAAAATAAGTTTCTCGAATTGCAGTTACTGTGTATTAAGGGCTATTATAAAAGTATCTTTAGAGTGTTAAGGGGACTTGCAAGAGTGACTCTTAGCTCAGCCTGGTGGCCCAGATATGCTTCCCAGAAAAACTAACTCTGGAATTGTAGCTTATGTTACATAAAAGTTAACTGGAGATGGGAAGATTGATAAGATAGAAACAAATCAGTATACAGCATTAGAGGGGCAGGACAAATCACTGAGGAAGACATGATGGGGAACACTTAGGGAACGGCCCAAGATATGACCTGAGAGGGAGCAAAGGCTGAATGTTTAAATGCCTTTTTAAGAAGCATATATTTAATACCAAAAGCCAAGGAGTGACTAATGAGCTTTTGAACAGAGAGGATTGATACG